AATTAGCCATACAACACTTGAGACACTTAAAGGTCTCAAAATTGTTCAGCCTCAATAAAATGGAGCAATGAAAACAATCAAACTACAATTTTTAATAACACAAACATCAATGTTGCAATTACACTCCGGTCCTTCAATGTGCAACTAAATAAAAGGCAACGGCTCTGATAGGAGGGTAAGACCAATGGAGGTAGAGGACTCGAAAGATTACAAATACATATTATCTACATCGTATGTTTATTAGATATTACATACGAAATATGCCTTTTAGTCTCAACAGCTTTAGACTCACGCTACCAAAAATTGGTTGCATAATCGAAAAGTTCAAAAGTTCATACATATTGAGTATGAGTCTGAAAAAAAAAGTACTGCAGGTCATTTCCTGTTACTGTGGCGTCTGTTCTTCCTGAGTTATGTTTTGGCACACCGCCACCGTCCTTAAAAATGCCCTAGTCTGGATTTGTAGAAAAGATCTGAATAAATGTATCATTTTTTTTTTTTTTTATTATGACAGGTGGGATTTTAATTAAAACTGTCCAACAGGGACAACCATTAAATATTATGACAGAAAACTTGCCTTAGTTAGTGGTGAAAAAATAAGAATGTCTAAGATTTATGTCGGATGAGGTCCAGCGGGGGAGTTCTGCGCAGCAGAACTCGGTGGTCGCCAACTCGTTGGGGTAATTGTGTAGCCTCTGAATTTACTTGCTGCTGCTTCTCTGCATCTCCTCCTTCACCCATGGGAAGCCAAGCACCTCGTGGATTGTCTGCTTGTCGTGGGCCCCAGTGGCGATACGGAGGGCTCTATTTTCAAATGTGTTGATAGTCCGAATATTAGTCTTGCTGGTCGTGCCGAAAAGTTGGATCCCGTATGCCCAACTTGGCCGAATAATCGCCTTGTAGATTAGGATTTTCGAAAAGGTCCTTAGCTTCGACCTCTTACCCATCAGCCAATAGTACGCCTTTAATCTTACTTCACTATGCTTTCGCTTTTTGACTAGGTAAGGCTTTCAAGTAAGCCTCCTGTCTAGCGTGAAGTCTAGGTATCTTGGGTTTTCTACTTGTGGGATGGTCGAGCTGTTGAGGTGTACAGGTGGGCGATTTCCTTGATGGAGAGAAAAATGTGGTGTTATTCGCTTGAATACTCCACCTTCTTTGCCAATTTCCGAGAAGATCTAGTTGCTCCTGCATGACCGCAGCTGCCTCTAAAGCATTCTCAGCAGCGGTCAGGAAGGCGGTATCGTCCGCATAGGTCGCTGCCATTATGTTGGGGCTCCGCAAGACTGGGAGATCGGCCGTGTAGACATTTTATAATAAAGGGCCCAGCCTGCTGCCTTGAGGGACTCCGGCGCGGACCTCCCTGAGTCCGAAAGTGGCCTCTCTTCATCTGACCGCAAATTTGCGGTCCTTCAGGAACGACTCCAGGAAGAGGTAGTGAGGTCTGGGCAGGTTAGACCAGAGTGTATCAAAATGGCATGGGAATCATTCACTCTGAAAATAAGTGCACTTTCTACTGCAATTATAATGGATATACGTGAATACTTGTATGAATGCTAGTTTGTCAAAAAAAATTTTACTCTGTCCCTCGAAACTAAACTTTATGGTACCAACTAAGTTACTAAGGTACTAACTGTACCATATAGAGGTTTATATAATATCTACTACTCAGAAATTTTCGATGACCAGTTTTTCGAAACTGGCGCTCTTGACGAGGCGCTCGACCATGGGGTAAGGACAACACGGGCCACGAAAGTGGCGAACTTTACCTGTTGTGAGTTGTTAAACATTTAATTTTTATTTTTCTATTCTTTTATTAAATCTTCTAAATGATCTTTTCTTCATTAATGTTTTTTCCATTGAAGGGGTTTAACCTGAGGCATCCTTCCTCAACAATGCGACACTAACCATTCAGCCATTGTCCGAATGAAAAATCAAATGTCGAAATTACACCTGGTGTTTTGTGTCCCGTCTTATTTCTTTTTTATGATGTTAATCTAAGTAATAATATTTAGCATAAAAAAAATTAATTGAACAAGAAAGGAAAGCTAACTTAAGATCGGGTAACTTAAGAAAAATTAAAGCAGATCAGATCGGATATGAATCACAAATATCAGATATAGTTGCGCGATCATCATGAGAACTTTATTATAAAACCAATTTATTAGAATATAAATTTTAAAAAAGCATTAAGCTCATCAAATAAACAATTCCGATCGTTCAGTTATTTGGCAGATATAGGATAGAGACGGCCGATCCAATGAAATTTGGTAGGTCCAATCATTTGGCAAAAAATAAAATCTGTAAAAATTTCAAAGGTTACATCTTAAAAAACACGAAAGTTGTATTCCGTATTATTTTACTAAGATAGAATCCCAACTCTTTAAGGGGAGGGTAAGGTCAAATCATGCGAAAAAAGCCATGTTTTTGTGATTTTTTTCCTGACGACACAGTTAAAATTTATTTATTCAACCAACGCTATATTAAAGTATGACATTAGAAGAATGTTTAATAAAATTTTTACAAAAAAATATTTAAAAAATATGGCAATGGTAGCAATTGTCCGGACGTGTCGCAAAAAAAAGTTGAATTGCGGTGCCCCTCATAACTCGGTGCTGGATCGTTTGTAATCAAAAAATGAAAATTCATTCGTTAGATAATAGTTCGCCCCAGGTAACGCTGTAAATTTTTTTTGAAAATTGCAATTTTTTAATTTTTTCGAAGACTTTGAAGTGAAAAACTCAATTTTTTGGGAAAAAATCGGTTAATTTGTCATTGCAAAATCAAAATTATGAACAAAAAAAAAAAAACTCGACAGCGTTACCTCGTAAAATATGTACAGAAATGGTGTTTAAAATTTCAAAAGGATCGGTGCAGTAGTTTTGAAGTTATGAGGGGCACCGACTTTGAAAACGTGAGTTGTGGGAAAAACGCTTTAAAGTTTTAAACACAAAAAAATCCAGTGTAAAACGTTTGCAAGCAACTTCGTCAATAACTAATAACTTCGTCAATTTTGTTTAATTTGACTTGAAATTTTGACACACTATTCTTCAGATATTATGCATTCAATTTAAAAAATAAAAAAAAAATGAAAAAAATAAAAATTTAATACCTTACCCTCCCCTTAAGTCTAAAAATACCAAAATTATACCATTCCAGATCAATCAGTTATATGGCAGCTATAGGATATAGTAGGCCGATCCCGGCCTTTCCGACTTATATATAGCGTGCAAAGGAAAGAAGGGTGTGTGCAAAGTTTTAAATTGTTAGCTTTATAACTGATAGAATAGTTTGTGTAGAAATAGACAGACGAACAGACAGACATGCTCATATCAACTCAGGAGGTGATCCTGATCAAAAATATATATACTTAATAGGGTCGAAGATGTCTCCTTAACTGCGTTGCACACTTTTGACCAAAATTATAATACCCTCTGCAAGAGGTATAGACAAATTAGTAAGTAACTTACTACAAAAAATATATATATAAATATATATAAATAAATATAAATAAATACCTTATTAAAAAAAAGGTTGAGGCTTAGGTTTCTGATGAAAGATAACTTGGAATCTGTTGTTCAAAGGTGACCTGTTCTAAGTGAGTGCTGCCTTCAAGAGGTCTTGTTGTTGGCAGTGCAGGTGTGAATTGAGCGTATGGCGTGTACGACATCATTTGAGGCTTGGGCAAAGCTGAAGGAAGTACATCAACTAAGTGGGCTAAGTTTAAAGATGGAGGACGGCCAAAACAAAAACGGCCGACTAGAAAAAAGGGTGTGTGCAAAGACAGACAGAGGAACATACTCATGTGAACTCAGGAGGTGATCCTGATCAAAAATATATTTAATTTATAGTGTTGGAGATGTCTCACTGCGTGGTACATTTTGGACAAAATTAGAATACCCTCTGAAAGGGTATAAATACAAATGGTTGATTATTATGGTTTTTCTTTACTCTGGAACAGTGCATTCCAGACATGTTAACAAACAAAGACAAAAAGCTTAATAGACGTTTTTGCATTTAAATTAACATAAAAAACAAATCCGTCAATTGACCGGTAATTTTCGTTGAAGCTTTAGCTAAAAAAAATAGTTTCGCTAGTTTCTACGTGGTTGTTCGGCGTGTACTTACCTTAGGGTCAGCAAAGTAACCACCCACCGGTGAAGTTAGCGGTGTGATAAGTATTGCAGGGTATTTACAAAATCTACACGAGCAAGAACTGGTGGGACCAAGGACCAAACGTTGCAAGAACTTTATCTCTGAAAAATTGACTCTAACCAAATAATGAACTCGAAGCCCTTTCTTAGTTGCTTGTCACTGCTTAACTACTCAAGCTTAACTATATATAAATATAATTGGCTAATAATTCTAGAATGCCCAAAAAGTTACCATACTTTGTCTACCCAATATAACAAGCCTTTAGTTATGACTCAGGGATCAGTTTGTACAATTTCTTCTTGTAACTAGAAAATCCTGAAGATTTCGTCAAGATTCACCAAAGAGCCGGTCGTTGCTTCTACCTGCCTTGGAGGATTAATGAACAAAGATTCCATTTGTTGAATTTTTTTGGATTTTCGATCATTACTTTTAACGTTATTTTTATAATAACGGAGATTATATCTTAGTCTCTTGAGAATATGCTTACGAAATATAACATGAAAAATATGCTTACTATTTAAACTTTTCGATGCTCACCATTATAAAATTCTTGTTTGCTCTACGATTCCTCTACGCTTATAATTAGTAGTTCGTTAGTAGTTTCATAGGATAAATTGATTATAGATTTGAACAATGTTTAATTATGTTTTGTGGTGAAACATTAAATTTACCTATTAAAATAGTTACACGCATGATGTTGTTACTTCAATTTTTGGAAAACGTTTTAAAAAGAAATTTGGCCAACTCCATGTTTTTATTTTTTGTATGCTTTAAGTATCAATTTTTCCAAACTTTAATTTTATTATAAATGTATTTTTAAAGTTATATTTTGAAATCTATTATTCAAGGTTGACCTTAGACATATGGATGAACAACAAGGCAGTAACGTAGTTGACGTTGGTGTGGATTTGTCAGAGTTTTACATGTCTGTTGAATGGGATATATTAGAAGTACCAGCAGTAAGGTAAGAAATCTTATATGACATAATATAATCATAATATTTTCAATTAATTATGTCTTAAAATATACGATAGCATATGTCCGATGCGTGCTTTCTGAGCTTTGGGCTCGCCGCCCAATCCCTTCCTGGTATTAGGCCACATGATTTGCATCAACATGTCCACTTCCAAGATGAAATTGAGTCGCTTCCAAGGGGACTAGCTAGCATCCGCAAATGAAAGCCCGTGACAATGATTTGAGGCAGCCCTCAAATAGTTGAATTGGGCGCATATACATTTCAACGTCTAAATAAAAATTTGGGGATACATTACTATTCATTCCGAAGTTTACTGTTTACTTGTAACTGACGGCCGACACTGGGATCACCCCAAAATTGGATGCTTGGGTGCTAGACAGTTTCCTATAGCTTACTACTACTTAGCATTCTTCCGAGAAAGTATGCGGCTGTGGCTCGGCGGTTACCGCTGACTACAAACTTGACAGCTTTTAGTGCTGATACAGCGGAAAAAGCATGCGACTTACTTAACATAATTTGTAGACGTAGAAAACGCAGCTCAAGCTGCAAGGCTTAGGAAAATTTGATGCCATTCAGCCACAATTCTAAGCTATCTCAAAAAATAAGATGGCACTTGGACTAGTACATGTGAAGAATGGCGCTCAAACTACGTGATTGCATTGAGTCTAGAAGTATTATAAATATGGGAAGGAAAAACTGGATGTACACACTTAGAAAGGAGGAGCTGAGCGAAGTATGCAGAAAATTTGGTCTACCAGCGGACGGGACTGTGGAAACCATGAGATCCCTGGTGGCGAAGTGGGTCGATGAGCCCAAAGACGAAGTGCTGGCGTTAACACGAGGGTTCGAGGAAATTTTCGTGCAAAGGTCCACCTCCAGGCAGAGAGCGACAAGCGAGACCGAGAGACTCATAGAGAGCTTGGCGGTACCGAAGCCAAGAGTAGCAAGGACCATGGAGCCACAGTCAAGGAAGTATGTCTCGGTTTTGGTGGACTACGGTTTGGTGGTTTCGGTTCGACGGAACAGGAGACCCGTTGGAGTTCCTCGACCTAGTGACGTGATCCACAAAAACGTATGAACTGGATATAAACACGATCCCGAGGACCATGCCAGAGTTACTGCAGGATAGGGCTCAAAGATGGTTCATCATGAACGACGCAGAGTGGGCAACATGGGCCAAATTCAACCCAAGCTTAACAAGCATTTTTCTGACGAATGAATACTTCGAAAAGTTGGCGGATCAGATTCTTCAACGGGAGCAGCAACGTGGAAAACCATTCAAAGAGTACATGGTGGACCTACAGTTCCTAATGAAGCCACTGGGAAAAACTACGAAAGAGGTAATCGAGAAGCTCGTCGAAAAGAATATGAAATGAAAATTTTTATAGGGCCTCTTCTTAGAAGAAGTGATGGGCATGGCAGAGGAGTTCGAGGAGTTGGCGCAAGTCGCCACGGAACAACGATGAATCCACAGTCAACCGGCCGTAGAGGAAAGGTGGCAAAGGGAGGAACCGCAGCATGGCGAGGTAGCAGTGTACCAAAGGGATTAATGGACCCAGAGAGGAAAACGGGATGAGTTCCACCACCCGGCCATCCAAAACACAATGGACACCAAGGTGGCAGAGCAACCTACATTAAGGTTGGATGCCTAGATGGCAGCCTGAGGGCCAGCACAAATCGGCTCACCAACGACCGGACCGCACAGATGTGGTGGCAAGGGCCATTGGGCGAGCGGGTGCAGGAACCCAACAATGTTGCTCTGCAAGATGTGCGGCGCGACAGGGGTAAGGAGCACAGAATGCTGCCAGCAGTCCCAGCAACAGGGAGGAGAGCAGGGATCGCACGGTGCTGCCTCTCAAAATTAATAGGAGGACTGTCCGGAGACGAGCAGCAGTTGACAGAAACCATCGAGGTTGGAGGCTCAGAAGTAAAGGCCATGCTGGATACAGAAGCAACGGCAAGTTCTGAGGAACTAGCAGAGAGCCCGGAAATCACCGGGCAACGCATCGCGACAAGGAGACTGTTGAAGTTGGCCAATGGAAGCCATACGGAGACACGCGCCGCATTCCAAGCAAGAATAAGCTTCGGTGACAAGACAAAGACCCTGAATCTGATGGTGATGCCAGGACAGTCAACAGCGACATGCGCAGGCAAACCCAAAAATACAGAGAGAGGTAAACGCGAAGATTAAAGAGCTGCTGGAGAAAGGATGCATCGAGCCTTCGAATAGCGCAGTTCATTGTGATGGTGAAGAAGAAAACGGGTTATTGGAGGATGTGCGTGGACTTCCGGCAGATTAACGCAAAATCGATAAAAGATGCGTACCCGATGCCACGGATCAATTAAATTTTGGAGCAACTGAGGGGGGCGAGATTATTCAGCAGCCTCGAATTGAAGGACGGTTATTGGCAAATGCCGCTAGAGAAAGGAAGCAGGAAAGGTTTCACCGTACCAGGGAATGGTCTGTACATGGACCATTCATGGTCCATGGTACATGGTCTCTGGCATGGTCTGTACCAGTTGAAGTTGGACGCACCAAGGAGGAACATATGGGAAACCCAGGAGGTGTTCAGGAGGTTGAAAGCGGCGAACCTGCGGATAAATGTGGAAAAATGCCATTTCTTCAGGCAGGAGCTGCTATAATTGGGACACCGAATAACGAGCCAGGGGTTCCTCATGGATCCAGGAAAGGTCGCCGCAATTACGGAGCTACAACCCCCGAAAAACGTCAAGGGAGTACGCCAGTTCATCGGGATGGAATCATGGTATCGGCGGTTCGTTCCAGATTTTGCAGAAATCGCGAAGCCCCTGAACGATCTGCTAGAGTTTGCTTAGATTACCCAGTGCCCAGATTTTGAGAAAAGATTTGTGCTGCAAACGGACGCCAGCGACTACGGTGTCGGGGCGGTCCTGACCTAGGACACTGAAGAGGGGGAGCAAGTGATCGCATTCGCCAGTCGGACGTTGATTGGGGCTGAAAAAAATTTATTTATTTATTTATTTATTTATTTCGCCAATGGACAAATCCTTACATGGCTACATAACATAACAACTTACACCTAATAAATAAAACTACAAAATTAACAAAAACTTAATAAATGCCTTAATAACTTGTGTTTTAACACACCCTTATCAGAGCCCCACTCAGTTCGGAGGCTAGGCGGCAAAGAATTAAAATAAGAAAGAGCCCGCTCTATCGGCTCATTTAAGAAATAATTGGCCCTATGACATTTGACCCGAAAGGGGGCAAAGGTACGAAGATCCCTTTGAGGAACATTAAAATTAACGAGTCCCAACAAAAAAGGACAATCAATGTTATTAACGATTAAATTATTTAAAAAGGTTAACGCTGCCAGTTTACGCCGATCCTCCAACGTGCAAACGTTCAGAAGAAGGCAACGGCTCTGGTATGAAGGAACAGGATCCTGAAACCTTAGAGGCAGAAGTGCAAATTTTAAAAATTTTTTCTGGAGTCGCTCAATTCTATTGGAACGAACTTTACACTCCGGGTTCCAAATGATTGAGGCATACTCCAGCTTCGACCGAATGAATGCAGCATAGACGCTGAGGCTCGAGTATGGACTTTTAAACTGGTTCACGTGCCTCTTAACAAAGCCCAGCATAGCATACGCTTTAGGTAAAATGTAGTCTAAGTGACCCGAAAATTTAAATTTGCTGTCGAATAAGACACCAAGGTCTAACACCTCTTCTTTAGCTGCCAAATTATAATTATTGATGGAATAACCCGTACAGATTTCAAGAGACCGCCTACTGTAACGGGTAAACAAACACTTAGATAAGTTTAATGGAAGAAGATTGCGGGAGCACCATGAGTAAACTCTGGATATATCCTCCTGTAACAAGTAACTGTCACTAATGCAGCTAATCTCTTTATAGATTTTAAGGTCATCCGCATACATTAAAAAGTGCGAATGACGAAAGCATGACGAGATGTCATTAATGAAAATGATAAATAGAAGAGGTCCAAGAGAGCTGCCTTGTGGAAGACCAGAGGAGGTGACAAATGGACTTGAGATAGCGTCTCCAACAGTAACGTGGCAAGGTCGGTCAGCCAGATAAGACTCGAACCAACTTAATAGGCAGGAATGAATACCTAACTTATATAATTTGGCCAGAAGGGCAGCATGACGCACTTTGTCGAAGGCTTTGGAGAAGTCGGTGTAAATGGCATCAACCTGAAATCGGTTTTCAAAAGCTTCAAAGCAGTGCTTAGAAAAGACAGCTAAATTAGTGGTAGTGGACCTCCCAGGCAGAAAACCATGCTGGTTGGGGGATATGTAATTGCGAGCCAGAAAAGTCAATTTTTTAGTTACTATCCGCTCCAGTATCTTAGCGACGTTGCAAATTTTGGCTATAGGTCGATAGTTAGTAACATCACACCTACTGCCACCTTTGTGAATAGGCGTTATAGAAGTAATCTTCCACCGGTGGGGGAATCTACCAGAAGAGAGCGAAAAGGAGAACAGCAGTTGAAGGGGGAGTAGAAAGAGAAGCGATACTCCTCTTAAGAAAGAATGGGGAGATACCGTCCACGTCAGGTGTGAGCGACTCGGTCAGATGTCCAGTGGCTTCAACTAGGTCACCGTCCAAAACGTCCATGTTACTCACATTAAGAAAAGGCTCAATGCTAAGAAGAGTTTCATGATCACTCCAAGGAACCTTCGGCTCCAAGTTAGAGGCAAAGTATTTTGCAAAAAGATCAGAAACGCCCTGATCCGAGTCGGCTGCTAAATTACCATAACATATGGATGAAGGTATGTCCGATTTTGACTTTTTGCTGTTAACAAACCGCCAAAAAGCTTTAGGATTGGATCGAAGGCTAGCTTCGACATCGGATATATACTGATTGTAGAGGAACTTATTAAGGAAATCAAATTCCCGCTTAAATTGCCGGTACAGCTCTCCTGCTCGAGTCTCACCTGTCAATATAAATCGTTTGTAGTGCTTATCCCTTCTATTCTTTAAGT